CATCAGGATGCAGTTATAAATGGCAATTTTGGTGACTTCAAACAGGCTGAGCAGATTTCCCATACATAATTATATAAAATAATCTATGGAAAGGATATTCATTCCAGGCTGCACTATTTGCTTGTGCCGTTTCATTCGTTTGTTTCTCAGAATATGCTATGGCAACTCAAAGAAACAGAAGAACCTTTACTCTGCCCTCTCTATTCATCATGACCCACTTGCAAAGCTGCTGCCATCAATGAATGTAATCTCAAACTCAGGACATTTTGCAGATCCCTTCGCTTTCTTCACCCTAAATACATACACAAAATCAATTAAATGTTAGGATTTTGTAAGACACGTACTGCATTATTTCAAGAGGAACTAAGCTGCAATCAGAGGTTCGTATTCATAGCATTGTTAGCGCTGACTGATTGAAGACAGGGTTAACAGCAGAAGGAGAAATGCCGTTCATTTCCAGAAAGGTACCTGTAATGATCTAAAAGTATAGTTAAAAATAGGGGGGTTTATATGGTAAAACTTTTCATTTGGTGACTAAGAACAACCTGTTATTTATTATTCAATCAAGACTGACTGGCAGGTACTATTTTCGCTTCAGATAGTGGTATTAGAGTATAAGCTGAACCACTCAGGAAAGAATTCTACTCAGTACGTGGAAACATAAAAAACAGCATTTATTCACCAACTGAGTGAAAATTTCCGTTAGATAGGATTCTTTTGTTCTGTGGCCAAGGCGTGCCAAAAAAAAAAAAAAGAATAAAAAAGACAAAACCAAACAAAAAGATTATGACTTCGAAGGTTGATATGGGTCAAAACAAGACTATCAAAGTGACACAACGCTCATTTTTAATTAGACTTCCTAATGTGACATCAAATTGTTTTTCTTCTAAGAAACAGCACTTCAACAAGGCATGAAATCCTTGCAGCTTAGTTTATTAGGAGGCAACAAAGGGATTCCAATCTGCTACAAGAAAGTTTCAGCCTATAAGCACAGCCAGCGCAGTACAAAATTGTGTCATATGAATTTTAATGCGACACAAGTATGAAAGATTCCAAAAGAACAAAGGCAGCACAGTCCTGTTCCACACTACACAAATGACCTATTCTGATCTTAACAGCACACCACATTACAATCAAATTTATTTCAAAGGAGGGTCGCACAGGTCAAATGTAATGGCTGCAAGAATGAGGTATTTCCTTTATGTAGTATTAGAGAAAAGCAAAATATCAAACAGCGCAAGAATGCCAGAGCACTGAAAAGAAAGGCCTATTTAGGCTGCAGGGAAACAGATTTTTAAAAGATGTTTTAATTGCAGTTATCCTCACTGACTAAAGTTTCTAAGTTTCAAAGATACTTGTGATACCTCAATAAAGATGTCATGTATACATGTGAGATTGTCTACTACTACATAGGCTTTAATACACATCTAAAATTTCAAGGCACTGTAGAAACATTTTATATACAGCTCATGCTTAACAAAAGGAGATAGGCTAAATGGTCTAACTGGCTGGGTGTCTCTTCATGGCCTGACACCTCCATGGCAGAAAGCAGGATATTCCCAAGGGAGGCAAACGTCAGATTCCAGCAACAACAGAGAGGCTGGCAAAGCTCCTCATTTTGGCAAGCTCAGCATCCACCCCTACATCAAAAGAAGCTACTTTAACAACATAAAGATATCAGAACAATAGAGTCTACTTGAAAATACTGGACTGTCAGAAAACAGACAGAAGTCTGTTAAGATGTAAATCCAATGGTAGACGAGCACTTGAGGATCATGGTGGAAAGGCGGCAAAAATTCTTGATGATCAGTAAACAAAAAGTAAGGGCAAATTCTTGCAGTACTTCTTGGCATGTATTCCCATCAAGACTTAGGCCTCATCTTTGACTGATTCAGGTAACCTTTCTGACCAGAATCACTTATTGATGGCAAAACAGCTCTGAGTCCTGACCACTTGGTTCAGAATGGACATTTGTCCATCCTCCGTGACTGGAGACGGCATTCACGCATACTATGAATCCAATTTGCATATATGTGGGGAGTAGGTAGCCAGGGTAACAAACACTTAAAGCAAGGTATAGCTGTAGTAAGTCAGAGGTAAACATGTGATACCTTGGAAAAAAAACCAACAACATACATAAAGAGTTTCTATTTTACACAGTACAAAATCAATAAAAGGAGGCAATCAGAAGAAGATTTACGACTTGAGGTTCTGAAAACTAAATTCTTGGAGAACGAAATTCTACCAGAAAGTTCACACCAAGTCAAATGTTGTCAGTTGTTAGGATTTTTTAATAAACTGAAATACGCTATCTGATTTTGCTCTGTGGTATCATGTCACTCAGTTTTACCTGAAACTTTACAGGTTGCATTATACTGAAGTATCTTCCATTTGATTCCCAGCCAGGGCTCCCTCAGTCACAAAACAAGACAGAATAAAAGCTGCACTGGAAGAATTTCCGTAATGAGTTGGCTACCAGCCTAAAGGCTAGAATTAGTTTTATTGCCCAAGTCTAGCACTAAAATTGGTATTAGTCACCTCAGCTCTCCAAGTTCTAATCAATCGACTTTTCAGGAGACATTGAAATATTCAAAGAATGTAGATTATTATGACCAAAAAAAATACCCCAACACCAGCAACTTCCAGTGTCTAAGAATGAAACATAACCAGCAAGAGATACAATTCTATTTACGTATTTCAGCATGATCTTAACCTTAGTTTCCAGAAGGCATAGCTCTCTTTCCCTCCTTTCAATATTTTTGGAGGTTAAAAATATTCATTTGTTAACAGACATTTATATCCCTGAAAACTGATGTATTCACCTACATTATGACAGCTCTAGTGTAATTCATTAAGGTTTGGACTTGGAGATAGACATAAGGGAAAAAAATGCAAACCTTTAATGTTTCACTTGGTGAATAAAAATTGCATTAATTTAGGAATTCAGTCACAAGAATCCAATTAGCTATGGATATATAGACACATATTCATACCTTTCAACCATCACACTCATTTGAATTTTGATGCTATTTTCTATAAAATATAATCCATTTTACATTGTACTTAATAGATTTATTCAGATGTGCATCCCCATATGTCATATTTAAGCTTATACTACCACCTGCCTGAGGCTCTGTAGTCTGAATTGTCAGCCCCACACACCTCTTCAGTAGGAGAAAATCCTCCATAGACATCGTATGAACTGTTTCACTTCTGCTTAGTGTAGAAGTATGATAATCATTCTGACCATGAATTATATCCACTCCAAAAAAATGCAGTTACGTCTCCCCCCCCAAAAATCAGATTAACGTCTTCAAAACAAAATATTCAAGCTACGCAAGATATGCTGCAATGAAATACCACTGTCCTCGTAATTTTATTTTCACAAGTCAGCAAGTATCATCCAAGATTACTGTAATATGAACTCTACATTTGTTGCATATATGCTACACGCACAGGTATATGAAGTATTCACATATCTAGAGATATGCATAAACATAATTTCACACTTAAAGGACTCCAAGATACCTTCAAACACAGATTTGCAAATCAAATAGATTAACTCTGCTTCCAACTACCAACATCAAGGTGATGTGATACCATCATCTCACCGCTTTGTGTTGGGCCCATCTAACATTGCCGAGCTGGGGAAAAACTGATGAGCAAAGGTTAAGCAGAGGACTGCCAGAATCAAACTAAGGCTTGGAAATTGCTTCTTCAGATAGACTAATGCTTGACTGATGCACGGAGCGACTCCGGGGTTGCAAAATCATTAATAAGAGCAGCCATTCTCTTTGGATTTACACCATCTCTCAAACATTTGGAGTCGGTGCTATTGAGGATTCGGACCAAACTCTTCTGTGCTCTTTTGGAATTAACAGCTCTGCCAAGGCAGCGGAGTGCTCCAAAGGTCAATTTATGATTAGTCTCCCACCACCCTGCACACTGTGTCTGCAAGCAAAGCACAGCATCTGGGGGGAAGGGAGAAGGGGGGAGGAGAAGGAGGAGGTAAGTACTAGCACTGGGATAAGCTCCCAGAGCACGACTTGGAGGAGGGTGGATTTCATGCGGCCCCTGCTCTGTTCGGTTTTGGGGCAAGCAGGGAGAGGCAGCCCACCTTCCCGGAGGGGAGAGCAGGTACGGACCCCTGCGCTGGTCTGCACCCCTGGAGAAAAAACCAAGGGTGAACCCAACGAAGAACCCCAGCCCTCCTCCCAGCCCCGCCAGGTTTCGTCTCAAGCCCACAGGGACCCTGGGCTTTTGGGATTGCTGGCAACACCAGCAGCTGTGCAAGCCAGCAGAGGCCTCGGGGCTTCCAGCTCCCCTGAGCCTTCTCCTTCTCACACGCACAAAGGGTAGGAGAAAACCCCAACCGAGGAGTCCCGGGACCGTCGGAAGTTTAGGGAATCCCGGCACTCTGCTCCAACTTCACTGCCTTTTCAAGGCTTGCTCTGCCCCGTCCGGGAAAGTGCCCATGGCCAGTCTGATAACAGGGTGTTATCTTCGGCCTCCCCCAGCATCCCGGCGGGTACAGAGGCCAGCCACCCTCAGCTGAGGGACCACCCCTAGGTTTGATCGCCGTCAGCTCCTGCATCCGCCTTTCGGTCCAGGCGGCTGTCACCCCCTTCCCGCTGCAGGCTCCCCTTCCCCAGCAGCCCATGCCCTCGGGCACCAGGCAGCCCCCCCTTTTCTCAGTTACTAGCGGGCTGCTGTGGGACCAGCCTCCAATATTTTTTTTCAGACCTTGCCCTGATCGAAGACATCCCTTTGCCAAAACGGGAGAGGAGGGAGGGAGGGAGAATGCGTGCACAAAGTTTTTACAGATCCTGCCTGCGCCCTCCTCCCCCCACCCCAGCCCCCGCCGGAGGCAGCAAGGCGAGGGGCAGGC